TCTTAAGTATATATATTTAAATTTTTATATTATTTAAATAAATATTTATGAAAAAAATTAAAAATTATGGTTTTTTTATAATGTACTGTATATATTTTAGTTTTAATTAAATCTTATCAAAATGAATTCAAAGTGATTTGATCAATTTATGCAAAGTATAACTAAACTTATTAAGTTAATAAAAGAAGATAGTTTATCTGATTAAAATCTTTATCTTAATTATTAATTAAACTTTTTACTTACTTAAAAGAATCTAATAAAAATATACTTGTTTAAATAATGCAAGTTAAAACTATATTTGTAACTTAAAAAATTATAAATAAGAAGATTTAAATATAATATATCATTATCTTTTTAATTAATATAGTCTTATATTAGTATTTTAATAAATATAAGACAGATAATAATATTATACTATTTGAAAACTGACAAGTCTTTATTATCATACTTATAAAAGTCTTTTAATTATTATATTATTAATAATATTTTTATAAACAACTTCATTTTCTTCATAAAACAAAATTTATCCAAGACTATAACACAAAATTTAGAAATATAGTTGGTCAAGTTACAGATATGAGTAATTTAAATTAAGTTACTTGTTTTATAAAAGATTTAAAGTCCATTATAAAGATAAAAGTTAGTTATTAGATATTAGAATTTCTAGAAAAAGCTTGAAAATTATCACATCATAATGTATAAACAAGACAGGTTTCTAGACTAAAGATAGTATTATAACTTGGTTACAATTCTCTAATTAGCTATTACAATTGATCATAATTCTCTAATTAGCTATCACAAGTCACAATTAATTGAGATGACATCTCTACTCTAGACTTATTAAGCAGATACAACAATAATAGTCATCACTCCCAGAATCAATACAGAAGTCATCAAAATAATAGACTTATATTGATAAAATTGGATCAAGCAGAAAGTTATTATAACAAAAAGAATAATAATAATTAGAAGAATAATAAATTCAAAGATATATATTATAACTATGATGAATCAGATTACTTTATAAAGAATTATTATTCCAAATCAAAGACCAAGATCACAAATATAGAAGATGGACAAAAAGAATTCTCTCAGTCTTATGAAAGAACAGAATTTGCTTATCTAGAAAACAATCATGAGAGATTATTGAAGTTTAATAGTCAAGTAAATAGTAAGCCAGTATGGATATTGCTAGATAGAGGTATATTAAGAAACTTTGTTGATGAAAAATTTGTGTAAAAAAATAAAGTCAAGTTACAAAAGACAATATCAGTAACTGTTGAACTCAGTATTGTTAGCAATCAGATGTCGAGAAATAGGAAGATGAACAACCACTGGATTTGAAAGCTTTGAGGTTGATATCCTTTACTGGTCAAAATATCATATTTTATAAGAAAATGGTTTAGAAAACTACATGACAAGTTAATCTTTGTCAATTGAGATGAAAGCTCAGAAAGTTTAAATTTCTATTAATAAATTACTTTAACTACGTGATATACTGTAGATGACATTTTATTAACGGGATTTGACTTTGAAAAAGTTGATGAAAAAATTACATAATTAAAAACATTATGCTAATAACTTAAGTTTCCTAAATGCGAGTCAAAGGTCGATTTCTCCCATCCGCGATTTTTATCATTATTGTTTGCCATCAATATATTTTCTCGAATTCATCACAATCCATTTATGACACCTAATTTCCACTAACGGGCGTTGACGGCAATTATATTTTTTATACATTTTCGAAAAAAAAGACATGGACATAATATGATGTTTGAGACACTAAAATTTTTTTTTGCATAGCAATCAAATTCACTAATACCAACACACACACGTGTACCTTTACCCACAACATTTTAAAAAATTTCTGTGTCATTAACAAAGCGGTAAGCAAAAAGAAATATCAACAAATACAGATTTCACAATTTACGAAAACCTCGAAATCAAAACCATACAACATACGTAGATGGGATAAAATGTAATGTGTCAAGTTGCAGGAGATAGAAGAAGTGGCAAGAGTTGAAAGTGTTTATTTAATAATTTTTTTTGTAATGATTCAAACAATTTTACGGAGCAAATGCGTTGCATCCAGTCATATCAGTATAAAAAAAATTTAATAAGGTAGGGAACAGCTTTCGGGACATACTCGTCCGGGTTGGTGTTGACAACAATTACATGGACCACAAGCTATTTCAAAGGAATCAAAAAAAGTGCATAAACCAATATTACATTATAGTTTACTACATTTCATATAAAAATATAAAATTATGACTTACGATCATTCGGACTTCCCGGATTAACCACAGGCCAACCCAACCTTCCGGATTAACCCCACCTCCAGAATTATTCGGACCTCCCGGATTATCACCTGTAGGAATATTCGGACCTTGTTTAATCACAGCAGCAAATCCGAAAGTCGTTACAAATGCGAGAATTAAGACCAAGAATACAGAATCATAAATAAAACCCAGATACAAAGTTTACTCGTAGAAGGATGATAAAAAAATCACTTAATAATAGTGGTATGAAACAATACTTATACTTACGTAAGAATTTGAGGATTAAACAAATCCGTTAGTGAATGGTTTATAGAACCATTATATGATAAATATAAGTAAGGTAAGGCTGTGCAAAATTTTTTTATTCACCTGTTTTAAGAAAAATATGCAAACTGTTGTAATACGTACAGTACGTAACTCTTGGCATTGAGTACATACAATACATGCATTATCATTATTGCTATGGATCAAAGCTCTAAGAGTTTTTCATAGAAATCTTTGAACTTTTTATTATAGTTTACATTTTGCAGGTACATGTGGGCGTGACAGAGTATATTAAACAAAGAATCAAAATATATTAATGCGCAACCCTTAAACTCCGTAAATTTCGTTATTTGATTTTTCATTAACCGGAAAACTGCAGGATGAAAGTCGCGAATCAAGATGAACAATGCTATCCTCTTTAACGTTGAAAATCGCTACATTTATTCCAAAAATTTCATTTTAAACTTAAACTGCGATTTTTCATCAGCTAATAACATATTTGACTTATCAGGAACTTTTTATTTTCGATTATGACATAATTAAATTTACTATTATTGTAAATATCTTTGTCAAAGATATAATTGTATGGTCCGTCTAATTCTTTTCATACTTGTGGGTAATTTTTTCTGCTCATAAGCATGATTCGGCTAAAATTTAATTTCATAAAACATTTAAATGATTCTATTCTTTATAATTTTAATAAAATATCAAATGATAATAGTTAAAAAAATACGTACTATCAAAGAGAAATACTAGCTATGATAGCAGGTTTGTTAGATGTCCATTTGATGAATTTGAAGTTAATGAATTTTTCTCTAGTTATTGCTATTGCAGTTGTTGGAAGTTACATAGCTGATTTGATATAATTGAGGTTTCTAAAAATTAAAACTTCTTTATATAAAAAAACCACAAATATAAAATTCTGAAAGTTCCCTACCAAATATTCTTCACTTCTTCACCAGATAAACGCCAGTTATAATAACGAAAATTGCTATTGAATAATGGCTTTCGTTAATGTCTATATTTTATGATTTCTGCACTATTTATCATTATAATAAATTATACCTAACTAAGCCAGTGATCCCATCAGAAAATCTATCGTTTCCGATGCACAGCGGTTCATTATTGAATATAATATTTTGTTGGATGCGAGCTATTCAACACATTTTCCATCTATGTAAAAATCTAATTGTTTCTCCGGTTCAGAGAGAGTGTAGACTAGATGATACCAGCGGTTCAGAGAAAGCCCGCTGCCAACTGAATCGATCCCTGCACTTATACAATCAGTCGTCGAGAATTGTGCGTGCGGTGCTGAATTTTTTGGTGTCAACCAGAGTGTGGGTGTACGAACTTTGTTTAATTCGCCTAATACATGTATGTATTAAAATTCAGTTTAGAAATATATAATAACTATTTTAACCAACAATTGCATGATCAAAGAATCAGTCTTTGCAAAACACATGATTAGATATACCTTTATGAAAAATACAAGCCCATACTGAATTACGATGCAGAATATTCAGTCGTAATGATACCGATAGCTCGTTGGTCACCTCTGGCAACTCAGCATGCTGTATTATCATTTTGTCCTCACCAGAGAAAGTAATCGGCTCTGAAATATATTCATGGAAAGTTCTTGATTTTTTCTCTTTGAACTCATTAGCAAAATCTGAAAAGTCTCGGCTGGAGAAAGTAATCGGCTCTGGAATAAATTTACGGGGAGATCTTGATTTTTCTTCTTTAAACTCATTAGCAAAATCTGCAATTCTTGTCGCAGGCCCTCCTTTCATGCCATAGCTTCTAAGTTTTTCCTCGGTTAACTTGAAGAAGTCACGACCATTGATCCTCTCTCTGGAGATTACACTAAAATCCTCATCCATAAGTTCTAAATCTTCTTTTTGTAAAAATTTGATAAGCTTTTTCGTAGTCAATTTTCTGATCTCCGCTTCAGAAGTAGGAGCACATGTTGGTTCGTTAGTCATCGTTGATATAGGTTTTGCTTAAAGGTTTAAGTGTATGGAAAAATTAAGTTGCAGAAAGTGGACGAATTGGTGGTAGTCAATAACGATATACTGGTGCAGTAATATACATTTAACATGCACATACATGTGTTATCTATTAAACTACAATCAGGAAAACTACATGTAATACAGTATCGAAAATATCATACTAAATGCACATCTTCAGAATATTCCGGTACTCTTAACGTTAAAATTTTCGTCTATAATTACAAAATTAATACTCATACTAGTAATTAAAATAAATAAGAACATTATTACTTTAAAATAAATTTTTTGTTATCATATTCTTGAGATATATTGAGAAATATTAATAGTTAAATATGATTTGGTTTTTAAAGAGATAATTAAAAAATAAATATTAAAATTATATTAATTTTATATTTTTAAATAATGAATAACTTCATTTAAATATTATACTAAAATTCAGAATTCATAAAAACCTCATAAATTAAAATTAAATTTATCATTGTTTTATAACTGATCCGTTAGAAATAATTAACATTAGGCTGCAGTTATGAAACACTTATTGTTATTGATAATCTTTAGAACTAAATACTTTCTTCAAGTAAAGAAAAGTGATCTAATAATAAAGACACAAACAAATGAAAAATTTAATAAAATTATAGAAATACTATGTGAAATAATTTTGAAATTGAAAAATTAATTAATAATGTTTTTGATATTTGTCAAATTTGCAAAAAGAAAAATATTATAATGAAATAAGTACACGATCCTTTACCAGAAATATGCTTAATTATTTTTGATCTAAGTATAAAATTAATCATGAAAAATGGTAAATTAAAAAAAGTTATAACTAATATTAACTTTGTTATATAACAGAATATTAACAGTTCAATTATCCAAGTTTTACACATTATTTCTAATAGTAATAAATTATCATAGTGTTTAATATTGAAATTTTCTGTCTCAATCTCTTTTATCAAATTTGTCATAAATTAGAAGCTGAATTTAGAAAAATTTAAATTTTCTTGAACTTTCTGAAATAATAACAGAGCTTTCTTAGATTATTTTCACTAAAATATACTGTAATTCAAAAAACAACATTTTTCAAACCACATCTTTCAAGAAAACAATACCTTTAATATATTAATCATTTGCATTTTGTCTATCATCCTCTTCGTATATATAGTTGCTGGAACATCTATTCCCTTCTTTACTGGAAATGCTACATTTTACGATATAGGAGCTCATGTTCTATTACATTCAGATACGCATAGCACGTAAAACGATCAAGGCGTTGGCAGTGCCTATAGTTGTATCACCGCCTATTGGCATAAAGGCCGAACTTTTGCTCTCTATAATTGATTAAATTGGCCAATGAGCCAAGCTCATGATGACGTTTTACGTCTATGCTTTTTATTAAGAAGGCTAGCTAAATGAATAACAATATACATTATATATGCATGAATACTAGTCAGAACAAACTAGGTTAAAGCAATTTTTTCATGATTGTATTTTATAAGACAGCCAATTCCATTAAATAATTTAATAACTCAGATTAGGTTCAAATGTTGTAGGCTTTTCAAACTTAATAATATTTCATATACATTACATCCATAACAAAATTACAGCTATTTTCTGAATAAGCGAAACAAAGTCAATAAATTTGGATAGAAAAGAGGATTAGAAATTCGAGGATGTATCATGTGAATAATTCACAGAAATTACATGTATGTGGAAAAATACATGCAATTCATAAGATACTGAAATCTACACACGAAGACGACGAGGAAGAAATGCATAAAGGCTAATCCGCAATAGATTTACGTGATACAAGTACATATCAACATTATCAGCTCAGAATAATTATTAAAGGATTTTTATAATCAAAGACCAAAAAAACTTAAATTATGTAAGTAATCATATGGATTTTGATGCTAAACACAAGGTATTTTGAGCTTTTCCATTTAAAATACGTAGATAATATTTCTCATAATTATAGAAGATTACCAAGTTCGAGCTTAATTGGATCGATTCAAGTCCCATATTTTCGAAATGATTTTATTTGTATGGGAAGGAACTAGCCATTTTGATCGTTCGAAGTTTATTCGGCTACATTGATATATATATATCTTAGTGGCCTGTTATACAATGTTTTTATTAAATATATTAATATATCGTGAAGGTGGGGAGGTGGATTTTAATGTTGTTAAGGGAATACTCGTTTTCATCAATATTGAATAAACAGTGAATTCATTTATTATTGTTAATCTCCATTACAAAATGATGTTTATATTAATTTCATAAGCATAGTGTAATCTGAAATCCACTTCAGAATTAATTTCTTGCACGTATTCTTAATATTCTTCCTTACCTATTTGGTGTTTTACTTTCGTCATTGTTGATTTCGGAACGAGGTTTTTAATTTTTGCACTGTTTTGTGCTGCCGCTTGATATTTATCTTGTAACCTAATAAACACGTATTATAAAACCTATGAAAAATTTTGTCCAGAGTTCATCTATTTTTACATTACATAACTTGTTGACCTTATCCAATAAAAAAGTCATTAGTTAAAGTTAGGTTAAATAAAGCATTGAAATCTGTACATGAGTAATAACTAAGAGTGTAAAAAACTCCTCAGAATCAGTATTTGAGATTACTCGACCAATGTAACTTTGAGTCTGAGTTTAGACTCAAAGAACATACGGCGCGGATGCTAGAATGACGATTATGCATTCTAAAAAGAATTACTTTTCACATAATACATTACTGCAAAACATGTGTCATTGCTACATTTAATGTGACAATAAAAGTTTGTTCGCAAGTAACCCCTTAGTAATAATAATATATCCTCATACAGTTCTTGAGTCTCTCACAGTTAGGAAAAATATAGTTGATTAACTTTAATGTGGATAAAATTTAAAATGAGTTATTAAAGAAATATGAATCTGTATAGTTTTGAACTGAATGATGAGGATTGTATCATGTTGTTGATCCTATACATTCTCAAAATTTTCTGATTTGGAGAAGCTCGATATTACCCAACATAAAATTCCTAAACTGTAAAATAACTGATTTTTTATAATATATTTGTCGTTTATAAATAATTGTTTATTGTTGGAAGATAGGCTATTAATGTCCTTTGCAAGACCAAAATCGGAGATTTCATCATGCAATAAAATATTTTTTGAAGCTTTATTACATATAAATAGAAAAATGAGTTAATTGCATAAATTTTTCGACATAAATAAAGTATACATTACTAAATCTTGATGAATTATATAACCAAGTGAATGATAACATGAATTTTTTGGCTTTGCTAATATATTGAGAAAGTATTTCTCCACCCTTTGCCAATTTCAAGTCCATTCAAATGTCGTTTTCTAATCTTTTTTATATTATGATTCTATTTAATAACACAAAACAAGAATAAAATATTTCTATTCTCTGCTGATTTCAAGTATCAGTCAAATGCTTTTTTTCATATTCTCGTGATATGATTCCATTTGAAAGGTATGTCCTAGAAAATATTGAACTAGAACACTGATAACATTTGATAGGTCTATACTGTATTTTCCCGGAAATAGGCACCATTTTTTTGGACTCAAGAATAGAATTTCTAGAATATTTACAAGATTCATCCAGGAATGAGCATTACTCAATCAACACAGCAAATGGAGGTGCTGATTATTCTTGTGCAGCCTCCATACATGAAATGCCTGACGCTTATTTTTTCATTATTCTCAAGTGGAACTTATTTCCAGGAGAATATGGTATGTGTAGAATGTTAGTGCATTTTTTTCAATTATGAATCTAGTTTGAAGAAAGCTTGAAAAAAATTTATAATATGTATTGGTTTGTCATTATAAAATTGTAATTCGGTGACAATTTTATCTAAATTGCTCTCTTTACCGCGTAAATTATTTAAGAGTTACTAACTCATCAATTAATTTATAAAATTCTTCATATAAACTTTTTTTTACTTGACAGATTAATGGTTTGCATATTTATATGCGCTTCAGATTTAATTGATTTTTTCATATATATTCATATTTTGTGTTCATTTATTTTGTAATTTAATTCTCAGATCTGAATACTACATAACATATATCTTATATTTATATTATAATCAGGGTTGGTATCTGAATCAGTCCAAACATGTTTGTCTAATATCTACATAATTAAATTACTAATAAATTTTTGCTCAAACTAATATTTATAATTTCTCTGAATATAGCAAATAATAGTTGATGTATCTTAGATATCAATTAATAATCTGATATATCTTATATGTACTTATGAATTTATTGATTCCAAACCATGACAAATGTCACTCTTGCTTGTTTGAAAACAAAGCCATTGTTCATGTTTGCTGCAATTTTGTAGTATTTAAATTCTCTTTAAGAGACAGATTACAGCTTTAATTAGACAGAACTAAAATATTTTTATTTAAATGATTATAATTTATCATTGTAACACAGTATATTTCTTTAGTAGCATTATGATCTGTTTGGTGGTTTTCTCAATGTGTATTTAGTGTATTACTAAGTTTTATATACGTATAATTAAAAATCTATACTTTAATTTGATTTATGAAATCTAATCATGATAAAGTGCAAAACTGCCGATATTAAAATTCAATATTGTGCCATTTACATTCATAATTCTGTTGAAATATATTATCACACAATTCCGTTAGGGATGCTAGCAATACTATGTACATGTAATACTATGTAGAGTGTGGTATCATATAAAAATTTACCATTGAAGATTTTTTATACCGATTTTTATAACGATAAATTATCGACATAATTAATATACTGTAATACTATAATAAAAATACGAATAATAATGCCGACATTACATAATGTATTTTATATTTTGAGAATTTCGGTAAGTTGTTGATTAAATTCAATTAATAGGTTTTTATTTCTTCAATAATCTTATTTTAAGATGAATGCTATAGATGAACAAAGCTACGTTAAAAACTTTATATTAAAATAAAAATTTTACCAGCCGGCGTAAGCTTTCTTTTTTTAATAATGCGCGATATAAAATATATTGTTCATAAGATATTTAAATATTAATATAAAAATATTTAACATACTTTGTTAAATATATTTTATATTAAAATAAAAAGCAATGTAGTTCACTCTCTGATCTAAATCACCAAATTCAAAAAAATGTAAATAAATTTTTGATCTATATAATTAACCGCACACCAATTCTTCATAGTTAGTGCTATTCATCATCCATTCACAGCTTCGAGAAAATGGCAGTAGCTTGAATTATTTTTTATTTGAAGCATCTATAAACAACCAAAATAAACTATTTTGTAAATTACCAAGCTTGGGTTGCTGTTATATCATTATCATCAACTCGTTTACAAGCATCAAGCGTTGTAATATTCTGGCATTGGGCTGCTTGATAATTGCAAACAGATGAATAAGGAGAACAATCCATCAAATTGAAATTTTTTCCGCCTCTGTTTGGCTATAAATTGCACTTTTAATAATATTAGAATCGAGATTAAATCTAACATAAGTTGTTATTTAGAGAATAACTTTTTTTCTTTTTAAATGGGAAATAGAATAGTTTCTTCAAAATAATTTCAGCATTATAAATTCTTCAGGCGTGAAAATGTCACATCAGGATACTTTGTGCTATTTTTACATTTATTCTTTATCCTGTTCTCATTAAGAAGACTTTTGAGAATTATTTAAGAACACTCGATAATCTAAATTATATTCATACCCACTAATTCCTATAGGTGAAGATAAATGAACAATTATTTATCTACTTTTAACTATTCACTATTTGTTATTCGGGATAACTGTCATAATGAAAAATCCTGTGATTGCGAAAATTTTGAAAAGTTTCATGGCTACGAAATTCCCGTGATCATGAAATTCTAGACCGTGTTACAAAAAAGATAATTATTCCTAAATGTCTCGCATCACATAACCAGTCAAAATATGCGAAAATTCTTGTTAACATCAATATTGATGTCGCCTCGTAAAAAATTCTTTTGATATCAACACGAATTTCTTACAGAACATTCTTATTTTGCGTTCCTAAGATCGTGATTATCAGTAGAAACTTGTAAACATAACTATAGACATTGTTAACTATTAGATTGGACAGAATTAACACGTTGTAGGAGACTAGACTGAAGTTTCTTCGAAGTAAGAGGTCTCTCTCTACTAAAGGGCCAATAATCACGGTTACTATCGATGTAACGTGAGATTTTGATTTAATAAAAGGAATTATTTGGAATGGTCTAAGGAGATTACATGATTAACAAAGGAGGTTACGATTTTTATTTTAACAATAAATGTCTTTAAGACTGACGGAAAAAGTTTTCCAAGCTCACGAAACTCAATATTGAAAAAATTTTCTTTATAGTTAGACTATTCTAAAGGGATGACTTTCTTGAGGTAAAAGTGACAAAACCTGAAGCCAATAATAAAAAGCAAGAGATAATACTGTTTCAATTCCTTTGAACTTAATTATTACTTGAATTTATTAAGATTCAAGAACCGTCCATATATAAAATGATAATTGTTACATGTTTTGATCTATATTTTTGGACATTTGAAAAAAGACTATATTAACAATAATTCTATATCAAACATTCAGTTTATCATATCAAATTGTCAGATTACTGTATCAAATATATCAAATAATATATAAAAATGATTCAAACAATATGCTAAAACTATTATAAAGTGTGCAGTCAATTGAATGATCTATTACTATTAAAAATTGACTTATTAACAAAAATTATACTTAAAGCTTTAAGCATTAATCTATACATGTACATGTATAAATAATGGCAAACAAGTCAACATATATAACAGAGATCAGAAATTTGACTACGAAAAAATTTATCGAATTTTTACAAAAAAAAGAAGCTCTAGAACTTATAGATGAGGATTTTAATGTAATTTCCAGAGAGAGAATTAATGGCCTTGACTTCTTCAAGTTAACCGAGGAAAAACTTAGAAGCTATGGAATGAAAGGAGGGCCTGCAACAAGAATTGCAGAATTTGCTAATGAGTTTAAAGAGAAAAAATCAAGAGTTCTCCATGAATTGATGATTTCAGAACCGATTACTTTCTCCAGTCAGGACAATACAGATTCTGATAATGGATCCAAAGAAAAAAAATTAAGAGCTTTCCATGAATGTATTTCAGAGCCAATTACTTTCTCTATCCAAGATAGAAGATTAATACACCATGCCGAGTTACCAAAAGTGACAAATGAGTTATCAGTAACACTACGATTGAATATTCTGTGTCACAGTCCCAACTATGTTTCTGTCTTTCATAAAGGTATATCTGAGTTATGCGTTTTACAAGAAGGTCATGAAATTGTTGGTTAAAGTTATAATATATATATATATATATATTTAAACTGACATATTAGGCGAAGTAAATGAAGATCGTACACCCGTACTCCAGCTGCAACCAAATGATTCGGCACCGCATGCACGATTCTCGGTGACCGGTAATTGGAATGCAGGAAACAATGCGGTCGCCAACGGACTTACTTTGAACAGATGGTATCATCTAGTCTACACACTCTCTGAACCAAAAAAGAAATTAAATTTTTACATAGATGGAAAATGGGTCGAATTTCATAGTTTCCAACAAGATATCAAATTCAATAATGGACCATTGTGGATCGGAAACTATAGATCACGTAATGGGTTTACTGGCCTAATCAGGTATAATTTATCATAACAATAAATAGCGCAGGAATTACAAAATATGAATATTAACGATCAATATTATTATTATAGCAATTTTCGTTATTATAACTGGAGTTTATCTGCTGAAGAAGTGAAAGAAGAATATTTGGTAGGGAACTTTAAATAAAAAGAACCATAAATTTAAAATTCTGAAAGATTTCAATATTTTAATTTTAGAAACATACCAATAATACCAAACCAGCTATGTAACTACCAACAACTGCAATAGCGTTAACTAGAGAAAAACCCATTAACTTCAAAGTCATCAAATGGACAACTAGCAATACTGTTATTATAGCTAATGTTTCTCTTTGATAGCGCGTATTTTTTTTAACAATTATTATTTAATTTTTTATAAAACTTACAAAAATAGAATCAGTTATATGATTTTTATGAATATTAAATTTATTGTCGAATCATGCTTACGAACAGAAAAAATTACCCACAAGAATGAAAAGAATTAGATGACTGTACAATTATAATTAATTATGCAGCTGACCCTCTAATATCAACCTACTAGTCTATAGTGGCACTCAAAAGTAATGCATCACTAGGATAAAAAAGTCAAATTGGAGAATTTTTAATAACATAGATGCCACAGATAAATGAATTTCAGCTCATATATAGTTAAAAGCATAAATAAATAGCACATGCAGATTAAAGAATAAATGTAATATCACTTTACTTAACTTGAACTTTTATTATACCAAATTAATGATATATCTCCTTTAATCATTTTTTCTCTCAAGATAAATATATAAATAGATAAAAAACACATTAAAATTATATAATATATATTTCTATTAAAAAAAGATTTCAAATTTATATCCTTCTTAAAAAGAATATTCTTTTTATTATATTACAAATTACAAAAAATAATTTTCAATTCTCTGTTATAAGAATAAAAAATATCATTATATTATATATTTTTAATTATAAATTTATAAAATTATAAATTTATTAATTATTTTTAGTTTAAAATTACAAATTTTATTTTTCAAAAAAAAAAGTTTTATTTATTGATTTTTTAATAAAAATAAAATTTTTTACATTAATTAAGAAATAGTTTTTTCTTATAATATATATAATAAAATAATTACTTGAAAATTTTTATTTATAATTAATAAAAGTTATATTGTATAATTATATAATAAAATTAAAAACTTAATATTATAAAGAATTTTAATAAAAAATTCTTACAATTAGAAATATATAATTAAAATAAAATATTATTATAAAAGAAAAATTTTAATATAAATTTTATTTTATATAATAAAAAATATTTCTATATTAAAATTTTTAAACTAAAAATATTTATTAATAAATTTAATATAAAAACTGATTCTAAAAATAATTATAAAAATTCTATTATATAATTTATATATTAAAAATATAATAAAAAAATAATTTTAACTATTTCTTTATTATATAATAAAAGTTATTAGAATATTACTCAAAATTTTTTATAATTTAAAAATTAATCTTAATTATAAATAATATAAAAATTATTTATTAAAATTGGTTTTAAAAAATATTTAAATAATTATTTAAACTTGAATTCAAACTTAAAAAAATATAATAGATTTATAATTATAATTATAATTTATAATTTTATTAAAACATAATTTTTATTCTTATATTAAAATATGATTTATAAAATATAATTTAATATATAATTTTTCAAATTTTTTCTGAATAAATTATTTCAATTACAAAGTTATAACAAAATTTTTTCTAATTAAAAAGAAACTCAATTAAAAAAAATCTAGTCATAATTTTATAATTAGAATAAAATAAAAATTATTTCTTAATAAAAAATATATAAAAAGAAAATTTTTATTTTTATAATATTTATTAATAAAATTAATTTTTTAATTTTGCAATTATAAAAGTTACTATATTATAAAATTTTTATTATTTATATTATTTTTTTGTTCTTAAGTTTTAATGAATTTACATATATAGATTTTTTAAAATTAAATATTTATTTTTTCTAAATTATTAAGTTATAAATATTTATATATATATTTAAATGATGATGAATTGATTTGACTTTGAACTTGTATTTTTTTATTACATTACTTGTTGTGAATTTAGGATGACTTAATATTTCACTCATTTCTCTTATTGTTTTTTGTCTTTTTATAAACAAACAATTTTTCACATTCAAGACCTGTAAGTTCCGATCTTTTAGGCATTACTTAAAAATAATTATTTTAAAAAAAGCAAAAGAAATATTTTCTGGAGCTAGAAGGTGAATCTAATAAATAATTTGAATATATGTAATTGATTTTAAAAAATGTTATAATAATTGATCGGCATTTTTTACTAGCCTAGCTTTTTAAAAAGTTTTGTTTCCTGATTGGTACGTTATGTAACACATCTCCCCTACAAATAAACTAAATGTACATGAACGTGGATATGTACGCTACGCAAAATGGCTGCTCCCATCGATTTTCAAAAGACAGAATTTGCCAAGATTGTAGAAAACTCTGTTGAAGCGATTTCAGACGAGTTGCGGGAAATTAGTTTGAAGGTGATTATAAGTAGTACATTTTTTTTAATTTAAGTTTCAGTTTCATTTCGCTTCAGCATTTCATCGGTTTACGAAATTAGATTCATGCAAAACCTGAAATTGGACTCGAAGAATACTTTGCACATGATCTTTTGTCGGATTATCTTGAGAAAAAAGGATTTAAAGTAACGAGGAAAGTGTACGGGTTGAGCACTGCTTTTCGCGCTGAATACGAAAGCAAGGTCACTGGCGGACGGACTGTGTCTTTTAATTCAGAGTAAGTAACAAAAGGTGGTTTTTTTTAATTTTTATTTATGGTTTGTTTGTCAAGGTATGACGCATTGCCTGGTATTGGACATGGATGTGGACATAATTTGATTGCGATTTCTGGTGTTGCTGCTGCTTATGGTATGTTAACTTAGAAAAATTGAGAAAGCCTAATATTTATTATTTGAATAAATGTTTTCATATACGGTAAAAGGTGTAATGAATACACTTAAAACCCAAAATATTCCTGGAAAAGTTGTGTTATTTGGGACACCAGCCGAAGGTATTTACACTTTTTTTTTTGTTGGCTTTTTTTGGATCATTCTATTATATTAATGACTACAAAATATATCTAGAAAAGCATTTTGGTAAAATTGAGATGATCGAAGCTGGCGCGTATAAAGAAGTTGATGTTTCTTTGATGCTTCATCCAATGTAATTAATTTTTATTTTCGGATAACGAAGTTTTGCTGGTTTTTTTCTAAAGTTAAACTCCATGAAAAATTTTCTATGCAATTAGGAGTTTAGATTTATTGGATCCAGTTTATATGGCTATAAGTGACGCGGAAATTGAATATTTTGGAAGACCGGCGCATGCGGCTTGTATGATTTTAATTGATTTAATGTTTAAATTTCGATATACATGTACATGTACATGTACTAATTCACGAACTTTTTTTAGTGAACCCTTGGGACGGTTAGTAATAGATTGAATATGAACTTTAATAAATATTAAGAAACTGGAAATAAAAATAATTTTGGAATACTAGGTAGGAATGCGCTTGATGCTGTAGTTTTGGCTTATAATGGACTCTCAATGCTAAGACAACAATCGCAAATCAACAATAGGTAAATCGTTATTATTATGCAGTATTTACTACATATCGAGAATCACTTAAAAAATAATTTTTTTTTACACACTCTTTAAACTTTCTTCTGTTAAAAATATAGAATTAGCATGCTTATTACAAATGGAGGGAAAGTAATCAATGGTAATGTAATCGCTTTTCGAATATTGGTATTATCTTTGAACAGCTGATAAAACGTTTAATACTTCGTAAAAGTGATCCACGAATACGCATCTCTTAAAGTCCAAATCCGCTCTGTTAATGTCTCAGACTTACGAGAATTAAAAATCGGGTTGAGAGTTGTCTCAAGTCTGCTGCGGACGCTACTGGATGCACGTATAAAGCTGAATGGACGAAAGAGTGTCATGGTATATATATTTTGTCATATTTTAATGAAGCTGTTTTAATAGTTTTACAATTTCCTTCTTTCATTAGATGTTATTGTAAATAGAAAGCTAGCAAAAAATTTTATGAAACACATGGAAGATCGTGGTGTAGTTTATCCTACCGAGATTTATCCTCCGGGAGGGTCAACTGATCAAGTATTTTTAAAAAGAATAGTTCTATTAATAAGGTTAATAAATAGCTTAACTTTTCTGAAGTTTAAGTTTTGATTTATTATGCATTTTTGTGGATAGGGCAATGTGAGCTATGAAGTTCCAAGTATTCATGCTTTGTAAGTAATTTTTTATTTAGGCATGTATTCGCGTTTAATTTCTTTTTTCATTAAAAATTTTTAAACTACAAAAGATACAACATTGGCACGACGCACATGATACATACACACGAATTTACAGCAGAAGCCGAAAAATTAGAAGCTCATCATAGAACTATGCGTGCTGCTAAGTGCTTAGCGTTGACTGGATTGGATGTGTTAGTTGATGACCAGTTGTATAAGGAAGTTGTCGAAGAATTTAAGAAAACAATTGAAGATCATAAACCTAAATGAAATCAAAAACAGGAATTTTTAAATTTTCAGCAGCTGAACTTTTTTCGTATCAATTTATTAAGAAACTTGAAAAGATCAAAAATATATAATTATATCTCTTTATATTACCATTCTTAAAAAGTAATAATTATGGAATTATATGATTATAAATAAGATTATACAGAAATATATTTATAAAGAAGTGAAGTAATGAAATAGAAATTAAAAAGTCTTATATAATATAAAATTTGCTTTTTGAATATTGTAGATAAAAGAATTCAAATTGATTTTTAAATTTTTTAAATAGATATTTTATATTTAAATGGTTTTTATTATTTTGTTGTATTATTATATTGACTTTTTTTATATAACATTTATATATATTATTATAAATATATATAATATATATGTAATAGAATTAATAAAAGTAAGTTTCTCAATTAACAATTCTATACAGAGTGGAAATAAATTGACAAGATTTAAATTACTAACTTATATAAAATATTTTTAATATATTATATTATATTAAACTAATTATTATTATGACTTAAATAATTTAATTTATAGTTCATATTCTTATTAATCACAAATTTTGAAATTTTCTTAAATTATTTTTAATTTGAAATAATTAACACATAAATCTAATAAAAATTCTGTTAATTATGACAGCTTATTAATATAACAGTAATGAATATTTAAACTTATGTCCTAAATACTTTTTACTTATGAGATCAAAAATAGGTTTCATTATTTATGAATTTTGATTTGAAAAATTTGTCTATTACAACATGTTTGTATGATTGGATTAAATATTTATAAAATTAGAAGATTAAAATTTTACTTTGTTTGATCTGATTTAAAATTATATTATAAAATGTTATGGATAAGTAAAAATATTAATATTAAAATTTTCTTATTGTAATTTTTTCAAAATTAACTAAAAAGTTCATGCATTTTTGCCCAAAGGCTAAAAATTAGTAATAAGCATATTTTTGTTTAAAATATTCTACTAGACCATTGTAAAAATAACAAGGTAATAATATTTATATATCCAATAATGCTTTCTCTTTAAAAATACAGCTTATAGTTCTTAGACAGCAAATGAGAAAATTAATTTTTGAGTCAACTTATTAATAAAATTATATACTTGCTGAAATGTATTTTATTTTACAGCTTTTTTTGAGATTAAAAAATTTCATGTTTCTATATAATCTTTCAATTCGAATGATTATTTAAAGCATTCTCTTGCTTGCAATCAATTCAATCCCTTTACAAACAATTCATCTGCGATACAAAAATACTCACTTACCTCGTTATAGCAAGCAACGACTTTTAAAATTCTCTTTCATACATATAACGATATTCAGTGTAACAAAATAATGCATGTAGAAATTCTAACGCTAAGTTTAAAATGCACATCTACATGCATGTCTGCGTTTTTTTTCAAAAACGATAATAACGATAAAAGTTATGTGCATGTGTGAGACATTTACCTGTCTTCGACATGTACTTGGATTCCAAATTCACATATTTGAAATTTACTTGTACATGTACGTGTATTTAGATCTTTTTTCTTTTCTGTAAACTGCATTATTGACGTAGTTTAAGTTTGATATCGATCTCTATTTTTCAGATGGCATAAATTTAAATTCAAAAAAATACATTTTTTTTGTCAGTTAAGATTAAATTATTGGGCGAAATTCTATAAGCTTTTGAAAAACATATTATTGGCACGATAATTCTTTTTTCTTTAATGAATGCCTATTTAACAATTAAGAAACATATAAAAAACCTGAATATAAAATAAAATTCTTAATCGAATATGTATCAGAATATAACAGTTTACATCATTTACATGTCAGTTGAAAAGATAAATAGATTTAATTTCTAAATTAAATCAATACCCGAATTTTTCAACACACTTTTTTCAATAACCTCATTTTGCGGAAAAGCAAGTGGTGCAGATATCCTCCATGAGTAAACCCAAACTTCATTATTACTCGTCCCTATATTTTCATGAGCAATAGTACAATTCAATCCTGGAAATTCCTCAATCAAATTATTTTGTATTATCGGTCCGTATCGATGTGTTATCGCCGACCCATTATATCTAAATGGTGCAATCAGCGACTGAAGAGAGGTGATATCCGGACGTACCGACAAATAATTGAATTCGAATAATGGTAAATGCACTATAAGTTGAGATCGGAATAATTTTTGTACTTCGTAAATGAGGTATTTCATCATTTCCGTAAATTCTTCGAGAACCTTCACGGCGTCGTCGAGAGTTGGTGGCGTATGAATTTGGGTGCGTATTGGGATTTGAAAGTAATCGAGTTCAATCAAGAGTTCTTTTTCGGAAACGTAGTCGTGGATACAATTATTGTAATTAGTAGTGTGGGTATTTTTACGGTCAAAAATATCTTCCCATATTGGTTTTCCTGTTCTATAAAATTCCATTATGTAGTGAAATGCTCGTCCATTTCTATCGAAAAAGTATTCATTATTTTCTACGTCAATAGGATGAAGTATTTGTTGATTTCTCTCCTGAAACATTGTTCCGAGTAATGTCTCCGGAAATGCTGTCAATGTATTTCTATATGTTTCATACTAATTGTATTTTTTTATTTAATGTGACTGAAATTACTTTTATAGTTGCTAATAAATAAGGCATTTACCTTTATTCCACCAACATTCAAGATGACTCGTTCAAAACGCTTGTCTTTATTCCCATTAATTTTAGCATTATCGTTAGACATTTCCATATTTTTTAATACTGTAATCAAAAACGAGAGTATAATGTATTGGATGTTAGTTGCATAATATCCACTATCCACCTGACTCTGAAATATCACCCCTTAACAATAACGATAACGTAAATATGCATCATAACGATAAAATTTCTAATAAAGATAAGGAGAATTAATTTAAAATCTTTATAAGCAAGTCTATGTGTTTTGCCAAGAAATCATTTCGGTATACATGTAATTTTTTTAATAAGTAACGGTAACTACATGTAACATATACAAGTATCAAACTTGCACTAGAATGCATATCGATATGGACAATTACAAGGATGTGTTGTGTAAGAACGTGTTATCGTTATTAATTGAAGATATCGATATGTAACGGTAACCATTTTAATTCCAAGAATTATCGTTATCTTTCATGCTGTAGCTGGAAAAAGACAATTACATGTACATAAGTTTGGAATCGGAAATGATCGGCATACAATCATTTCCGATTCCAGACTTTTGTTAACAATTTACATGCATAACTGCATGAATAGCATAAACATATGTCATAGATTTAATACTCTATTGGTGGTTTATTTATAACATTTATTGTCATTTTGCAGTAATGGATTTGTAGAATAATAAATTTCTTATTCACTGATACATGTACATGTAAAGGGTCTGGACAAATGAACAGAATTCTGTTAAATAGAAATATTTCATTCATTGACTTTTTTTAAGAAAATTGTCAAAGCTCATCGGTAGTGATTGTCATCAGAACTCAAATTACATGTAAATAGGGGAAGATCTAATAGCCTTAAAAGTAAGTTCCAGACACGTGATTTTAGGGGTAAACCAATCAAATAGCGGGATATGAAATATTAATAGCGTTTTTATTAAGGTTAGGGTTAGAGTTAGAGTTAAAATTATATTGTATATTGCGCGCACAAACATACAAAGTAAAATTTCGCAAAGAACATTTTTATGTTAGAATACAGGAAGTAATTTCATAGGCGAAATTTCGAGATACAAGCTATCTTCAGTTTTTTCGTTTGTTTTAAATTTTTCCGTTACACGTTGAACTTGCTATATGATTGGTTCACCCCTTACAAATCACGTGCTGGTAAATTTTATTTTCGCCATGGTTAGAGTATTAGGGAACACGCTGTAGCACGAATTTTGCTATATACATGTACATGTATTATTTGTTATCAATAATTTGTTATCAATATAATTTCTACTATAATCGGGAATGTATTATATTTCTTATCTTGCGATTCGATTCCTTAACAAATCACGTGCTCGACCCTTTTTTCGTCATGACTAGGGTATTTTCTTGGTCGTCCAGGTGGAATCTATATTTCCAATTGTTAAAGCATATCTTATATTAAGTCTTAACTGAAATCTAGTTCTAACTTTAATTATATTTCAAGTATTTAATATGGAAAATTAAAGCTAAGCAAAGCTATGTTTAAAATTCATTTATCATAAATGCTATAATCCATCAATATTGAAGACAAGTACATGCATATACTAGTTGACTTGTACTATTTTGTAGACTAAAATAATTATCTATAAATTTAATTAGAATCATATTTTATAATTACTACTAAGTATTTACACTTTATAGTGCAGTTAAATATGATTGGCGTAATATGATGGTCTTTTAATGGTCCACCAAGCTTCTTCCAGTAACATTTATTTTTGGACAAAATTACCCATCACCAATCATCGGTCGTTCGATTTTTTTTCGCCCAAGTCTTTGGTGCGTCTATTGAGAGTGGCCTTTTACGTTTAATTATGAAGAAAGTGTCATTCTCTGGAATATACGTCATAAACTTCTACGGACAAATTCGGCTCTTTGAACTCGCGACGGTAGTGGTGCATTATCCGGATGTTATTAAACGGATAGCAGTTTCGTAACGATCCGAAAGAACGCGTGTCAACCGAATTTCGGTTTATTATCGAAACTCCCATTCTATTCTTTCTTTTGACATTTTTTGTAGACGAATGCTTGGTTGCTCGATTTCCCGATCCATGTCTCTTTCTTGCCAGACACGTTTTGTTACCAAAAATTGAAGTATTTGAAATAAAAAAGTAATTCGATTATATAGTATAAGGAGAATATTAAGGCATTTATGCTTAGCTTTAGGTTTTTCGTTTGCTAATTCAGAGCATAACGGAACGTTAAAATTTAAAAAATTTAGATTGTATAAAGGGCCGAGCCAGATATTACATAATATCATGTATGATAGTGCGACCCCTAAGATAGTTCAAATTTTCTGTTTTTTACGCGTAAGATATTTCTAGCCCAAAGATGTTATGTGATATCTTTTACGGCTCTAAATGATTATATTATTGATAAATAACCATTTATCTTCTTCTGGCCACAGATAATTCTCTGCAGTATTCTGTTTCATGTGTGAGTCACTGTATATGCCACAATATTGCCTTCCGAAATCTGTCCAAATTTGATGGATTCTCAAGAACATCAGCTAATACATATCTTGGTCTACTGTAAAGAAGGTTTCTATGTAGAGGGGTTCGTTAAAGCAAGGCATACTCACGACTCATTTGATCTGCACCACATGATTTTGAAAATAACCCTAGCCTTTAACGTGACTTTTTAGGGGGGGTAAACCAATAGTGTATCGGCTTTTTCTAACTTAACACACACTTTAATTTTTTTACCTGTTTTTAGGATATTCTAACACTGGAAATACACAACTGCAGCGTTAGTGTATGGCTTTCCATTTAACACCTCTGGTCTCATGTAAGGAAGTACAAATTTTTCTTGGCCAGTTTTTTTATTTTGTTGGAATACTAAGTCCAAATACGTTACGCATTAAGTTCTAAGATGAAAGTCACGATGAACAATTCTCTGTGTGAATTGTTAGATTAGAGATAATCGAATGATAGCCTAATTTTAATCCCAAGTCAATTTTTCGTAGTTACAATTCGTTTGTACATGTAGCCGGGTTTTTAGTTATTCCATAACAATGAATCCTGAAAAATTTTATTGTTTCAGAAAATAAAAAGCGATTTTCACTTTGAAAATGTTCATTTTTACCTCGTGTATAAATCTCAATAAATTGTTTTGAATGGTGTAATGATTCTAGCACAACTTTCCTTCTTTTCGTCGCTCAAATTTATTCTCTTCATTGAATGCAATAACACCCATTCAACCAGATTGCTTTATAAATTGACCCAAAACCTTCTTTTTTATCTCTGCTAGACAATCATCGTTATAAATTCGTTTGTGATATTTTAAACATTTTCCAGCAGCCCTCATTTCTTGCAACGAGCACATTTACTACAATCATATTGTGAACTGAACATTCATCGCGGTACTGATATATTTATTATTTGACAATATGATGAGTATTTGATTCCATGTTGGAGATCATTTTAAAAGATGCAAAACAAACGAAATTGTTGTCATTATACAGGTACGTTAATACATGTACATGAGGTAACAACAAACATCAATGCTTTAATAAATCGAACACATGGAATGCATATATTCTCGCTTCCATACTCTGAACCTAATCCTAAATCATATCATAATCAAAATACTAATAAATAACCATATCCTGCAATTTTGATTGGAGCCAAAGTCCCGATACCTAATATCCCAACGCCCAAATTCTGACTTATCATGATATTCGCAAAATCCTAACTTCTTAGCATATGAAAATATTCTTATGAACATCACTTAATAATAAAACTTTTGTCTTAGTCAACATATTCAACATCCCAACATAACGTTTATAAAAGATATAAAGGGTGAAATTGTATCATACCTTTATGCTTTCTATTTATTTTTTGGAATGTTGGATATGTCAGAATTTTGGGAGTGCTAGGATTTTGGATATTGTGATGTTAAAGATCAGAATTTTGGTTCAAATCAAATTACAAGATATGAACATTAGAATTTCGATTATGGTGTTATTTAGAGTTAGATTTAGATTTAGAGTAGAGGTTATAATGGATGCGAGAGTATATGTAAAATTTCGCAAGGAATATTTTTTATTAAAACATATATGATACATCATTTGAATTTTTTCATTACACAATTATCTTGGTTTATCTCTTAAAAAGTCACAAATCCCTATATATTTTTAATCACTCAAAAATAATGCATCACTAAAACAAAAAGATAAATTAGTAAAGTTTTATTAATATAAAATCCACAAATATAAGAAATTTGATCCATATATAGTTAAATTCACACATGTATAGTTCTAGTAGAAAGTAATAATGTTGGTTTTATATAATTTATGTATTTAAAATAGTATATTTGAAGATCTTTCTTTTTAGATATTTAGTGAAATAATAAAATATCTTTTGACATCTTTTAATATCAATTCATTTTCTTTCATATTTTTTAATATTGATATTTCAAATATTTTTCAATATTAACATTTCAAATATCTTTCTATATCTTTTCATTTCTTTTAATATCTTTTAATATCTATATTCTTAATATTAATATTTAAAACTATTAGTACTTTAAATATTTAGATAGTATTAACTAGTAATATTATAATAATTTATATATTTGAAAAATATATAAAAGAATCTGCTATTTCAGCTTGAAATAAACAGGTTTGAATTGAATTATTTGAAAAATATAATTAAAAAGCTTATTATCACAATAATAATAATCTTTTTAAAAGATTATTTTTCTAATTATACTAGTATCTTTCTCTCACTTAATTTTATTTTTTTGATTATATAAAGTTGGTTTTGATTTTGAATTATAATATTATATTAATTTTTAATTTTTGATATTATTTTAAGAGTAAAAGATCTTTGCTATAAATAAGCTATATTCTTTTTATTTTATTTATTTTATTTTTGAAAGTAGAAGATCTCTACTATAAATAAGTCATATCTTTTTTGATTAGTTATTTTATTATTTAGTTTAGTTTTACTTTACCTTTCTTTAGTTATAGTCTTTTTTGATTAATAGTAATTTTATTATTCTATCACTTTAAATCTTGAATTATATTGATTACTAG